TTTTTTTTTCCCAAGGCCAAACTGTATCCAGCTTTATTAAAGATACTTTTCATAAACAATCATGGTATTTCAGGCAGGACATGGGCAGACAGTCGTTAACAGTATACAATAACTTTCAAACTCCCTTCTTCAATAAACGACCAAAATCAGAAAGCCACGGTAAAACCCAGTGAGGTCTTCATTTGATGCTCTCGACAGGTAGGTTTGGAGTGACGGCTGACATTTCAACCTTTAAGTCTACACTGAAGGCAGAGAGGGGGAGGACAGAAAAGCAAATGTTAAGTTTTCCACACCACAAGACATCTGTGCCAAGGTGGCTGTGTGTCAGGGAATCCCTCCTCTCGGGAGCCAAGAGGAAGTCTCTCAAAACTAGAAGGGAAAGGTGTCCAAATCAATCCAACTTCAGAGACATTCTATTAGTGACAAACACGCCTTCACCAAAAAACAACAATGAAGTGTTCTGTGTGCTAACAACATAGCTTAAAATAAAAAAGGTAAAGCAAAATTCTGCATTTTTATAAAACTTGATAAAAAAGATTATCATTTCAAACTGTACAGTCACCAGAAGGGCACAGTTATCAAAAAATGCACACACTTCACTCGGCATCTCCAGTACCTTCAGTTTTCTGTTCCTGGTCTGTTTTGGCATGTCTATTTTCTGCAGGTTTATTCCCTTCCTTGCCAGCATCAACTTTTCCCCCTTTTCCTTTGGGTACCTTCACTCCCTTCTTTGCAGGGGCCTTTTTAAGCTTGGGCTCTGGCTTTGGAGGAGCAGGTTCTGCAGACAACCTTGCAGATCTTCTCTGTGGTTTGTCCTTCACTTTGGCTTTATCTCCTTTAGCATTCCCTTCAGCCTTTCTCTTGGGCATAGTGGGACGATGGCAGGATGTAGGTGCTAGACTCGAGGTTGCAGCAGCGCATACGCTTTGGTTGGCCGGGGATCACTCTCCTCTTCTTCACACTGCTCTCTTTTTTTAAGAGATATTTTTTCTATAGGGCATGTGAGAGACAGAGAGAGAGAGAGAGTGACCCTTCTCTTCCATTCTCCTCTCGGGATCTTGGGCACACACGCACATGCACCCGGCATGAGTTTAAGCCACTGGGTCTGGGACTCGAATTGCGGTCTGCTACATGGGAGTTCAGCGACATAGCCATTACACTAACTGCTGGTCCCGGCATCTCCGTTTTCTGCAGGGTTATTCCCATCCTTGCCAGCATCAGCTTTTCCCTTTTTTCCTTTGGGTACCTTCTCTCCCTTCTTTGCAGGGGCCTTTTTAGGCTTGGGCTCTGGCTTTGGAGGAGCAGGTTTCGCAGACAACCTTGCAGATCTTCTCTGTGGTTCGTCCTTCACCTTGGCTTTATCTCCTTTAGCATCCCCTTCAGCCTTTCTCTTGGGCATGGTGGCGAGGGTGGCGACCGTGGCGGGATGTAGGCGCTGGACGCCGGAAGATGCAGTGGCCCGCAGGCTTTGGCCGGTCTGGGGGTCGCTCTCGCCTCTTCTTCTTCCCACTTACTTAATTTGACCAGAGAGACAGAGTGTGAGAGAGAGAAAGTGAGAAAGCAAGCCGCCAGGTCCAGGACTCAAACCCGCATCGGGGGAGTCCAGCGTCCTTAACCACCGTGCTACCTGCCGGCCCCCACGCCTCAGCTTTAGAATGGCTTCTTGCCTGAATGCTTTGGAAGTCTACCAGCCCTTTCATTTCAGCCTTTCCCATGTTATGGAGAGTGTTTTGAATGCAGCTACAGAGATGCATTTTGTTGACTTACCCAAGCAAGCTTTACGCATTTGCATAATGCTGTTTTATCTGATGCGTTTGACTTCACTTACGTCCTTGTCGGATGCTTCCTGTTTGATTTCTTGCCTTTTCCTTCGCTGTTTGACTTTTTGCCACAGATTACATTTTCTTTGAAAGTGTTTTATTTATTTATTTATTTATTTATTTATTTTTGGCTGGAGGGTGCGTGTGCTCACTGGAGGACAGAGAAAAAGTGAGAAAGCACACCCCCTAGTGGGCAATAGCCATACTGCAGTTCTTTTCCCCACCCCTCTTTTCAAGTTATTCCACTGATCCAAAAGTTATTTATCCTGTTTTTATTCTACTAGTGTCTACAGAGAATATTTATTTTCAGAGAAACCCTGGTAGGGTCTTGATGCCATCCTCCACCCCAGCCTCAGCCAGCCCCGGTCACCAGCACAGGTGTGCCCGGGGGTATTGAGGAAGATCTCCAGAAGCGAACCTGAGACCCCCCATGTTGGACAGCCTCACAGAGTATCACGTTTTACCACTGCGCCACTGGCCCCAACCCTAGTTTTTTGAGTTTTTTTTAGAATTATTTTTGGCCATCCCCCGAGGGGTGGTTTCTCGCTTTCTGTCTCTGTCTCTCTTTCTGGTGAGCATATATGCCCTATAGCAAAAACTCTCAAAAAAAATTTTTTTAATGATTTTTAAATTTAACTTTATTATTATTTTCCAGTTTGAGCAGAGAAAGAGAGGTGGCCCCAACCCTAGTTTTTTGAGTTTTTTTTAGAATTATTTTTGGCCATCCCCCGAGGGGTGGTTTCTCGCTTTCTGTCTCTGTCTCTCTTTCTGGTGAGCATATATGCCCTATAGCAAAAACTCTCAAAAAAAATTTTTTTAATGATTTTTAAATTTAACTTTATTATTATTTTCCAGTTTGAGCAGAGAAAGAGAGGGGAAATATGAGAAGGCAAGCCACCAGGTCTGGGACTCAAACCATGGTTGGCCTTGTGGGAGTCCAGTGCCTTCAACCACCATGCCATCTGCTGGTCCCTTTTCTTTAAAAAAAAAAAAAAAAAAAAAAAAAAAAGCTTATTAATTTGGGGCCAGCAGGGGTCAATGGATAGCATAGTGGTTATGTCATTCAACTCCCACATGGCCGACCCCCGTTCGAGTCCCAGACCTGGTGGCTTCAAACTCCCACCAGGCGTGTGCATACATGCCGAAGATCCTGGGAGGAGAATAGAGGAGAAGGGATTGTGGTGTGGCTGGCTCCCCTAGGGGGTGATTTCTCACCTTCTCTCTCACTGTCTCTGTCTCTCTGGTGAGCGCATGCACCCTAAGGCAAAAACCTCTCAAATAAAAACTGAGGGTCAGCGGGTGGTGTGATGTGTGGGGCTCTGCTTTCCCTCATGGCTGACCGTGACTCGAGTCCCAGACCTAGCAGCTTGAAAATCACACCAGGCATGCGTGTGTGTGCGTGCACCCAACATCCCAAGAGGGGAAAGGAGGGAACCAGCAGTTAGCGTAATGGCTATGTCGCTGGACTCCCACGTAGTCGATTGCGGTTCGTGTCCTGGACCCGGTGGCTTAAAACTCACGCTGGGCGCATGTGTGTGCGTGCCCAAGATCCCGAGAGGAGAATGGAGGAGAAGGGATTGCGGCGTGACCATCCCCCCTGGGGGGGTGATTTCTCGCTTTCTGTCTCTATGTCTTTCTCTGTCTGTGCGGCGAGCGCACGCGCCCTATAGTGAAAACCTCTCCAAAAAAAAAAAGAGGGGAAAGGAGAAAAGAAGGATTGCAGTGTAGCCATCACTTTCCTTCTCTCTGTCTCTCTCTGAAAAGTGCATGCACCCTATGGCAAAAACCTAAAAAGAAAAAGTAGTTATTGATCTTAACATCTTCTATGAGTTAGAAAGAGGGAGCAGCAGTTAGCGTAATGGCTATGTCGCTGAACTTCCATGTAGTCGGCCGCGGTTCACGTCCCAGACCCAGTGGCTTAAAACTCACACCGGGCGCGTGTGCGTGCGTGCCCAAGATCCCAAGAGGAGAATGGAGGAGAAGGGATTGCGGTGTGGCCATCCCCCCTGGGGGGGGATTTCTCGCTTTCTGTCTCTCTGTCTCTGTCTTTCTGGCAAGCACATGCGCCCTATAGCAAAAACCTCTCCAAAAAAAGAAAAAGAAAGAGCTCCATGAGCCTGAGAGAGAGGAGAGATGAAGGTAGAGAGACAGCATGCCCAGTGGGGTCTTGACACTACAGTCCCCGTTCAGCCAGCTGGGCTCATGGCACACGTGTGCGTGGTGTACGCAGGGAGGTGTCTGCACATGGAACTGCCTCGTGCGGGTCAGTCTCACGGAACATCACTTTTTATTGCTGTGCGACCATTTGGCTTCCCTCTGGTGGTTTTGGTTTTGGTTTTGGTTTTTTAGATAAGGCCTTTCTCTGGTGCCCTGGCTGGCCTTGAACTCATGATCCTCTTGCCTCAGCCACCTGAGTGGCTGGGATTACTGGTGTGTACTGCTGCCCCCATCAGCTGTAAACTCTTTAAAGCCCGTACTGAGCCTATGGTTACATATCAGTGTCAAGAATTACATATTTCATATTTTTGGGGGCTGGCAGGTGGTGCGGTGGTTAAGGCGCTGGACTCCCACATGGCCAACCACGGTTCGAGTTCTGGACCTGGCGGCTTGCTTCTCATGTTCCCTCTCTCTCTCTCACTCTGTCCCTCTCTGGTCAAATTTAAATAAAGTTAAATAAAATGATTTTTTTTAAAAAAAGAATTACATATTATCTGCTAACTTTGCTCACATAGTATGAGGGAGAGAATACTGATTTTCTTCTGCGTAACTCCTTCCAGTTTGGGTTGATCAAATTTAGTGATTTATTCCTCTTTGTCCTTCTCTACTATTTGCAGCCTCTCTATGAGGCTGTCAAAGTAGCATGAAAAAGACAAAGACCCGAAGCTGGCAGGTGACATGGTGGTTAAGGCGCTGGACTCCCGCATGGCCAACCACGATTCGAGTCCTACACCTAGCAGCCTGCTTTCTCACTTTTCTTCCCTCTCTGGTCAAATTAAAAAGTAATAATAATAAATTAATAATTCTTGGGACCAGCAGTTAGCGTAATGGCTATGTCGCTCAACTCCCATATAGTTGGCTGCGGTTCAAGTCCCAGACCCGGTGGCTTAAACTCACGCCAGGCGCATGTGCATGTGTGCCCAAGATCCCGAGAGGAGAATGGAAGAGAAGGGACTGTGGTGTGGCCATCTCCCTTGGGGGTGATTTCTCTCTTCCTGTCTCTGTGCCTCTCTCTGTCTTCCTGGTGAGTGCACGCGCCCTATAGGAAAAACTTCTCAAAAAAAAATTAATAATTCTTTGGGGAAAAAAAAGACAAAAGATCCACACAGCCTGCAGAATCGTTCTTTAAAGATTAATTTTATTATTATTATTACTGAATTTGACCACAGAGAGAGAGAGAGAGAAGGAAAGTAAGAAAGCAAGCCGCCAGGTCTAGGACTTGAACCATGGTCAGCCATGTGGGAGTCCAATGCCTTAACCACCACGCCACTTACTGGCTCTTGCAGAAAAGCTGCCAGGTCCAGGGCTCAAACTGCAGTCTGACATGTGGGAATCCAGTGCCTACCGGCCCTGCGGAAAGAATCTTTTTCTTTTTTCTTTCTTTCTTTTTTCTGAAGAGATTTTTTTTCCTATAGCATTCGTGCTCTCACTGGCCAGACAGAGAGACAGAAAGTGAGAAATCACCCTCCGGGGGCTGGCCACACCACAATCCCTTCTCCATTCTCTCGGAATCTTGGGCACTCAAGCTTCTGGTTCAGGATAAACCAGGCTGGCCATGTGGGAGTCCAGCGACACCACCATTATGCCATCTCCGGGTCCCTAGAATCTTGAGAGTAGCATTTGAGGACCAGGAGATGGCGTAATGGTTGACTGCAGCTCCAGTTACGATTACGTGAAATGATCATAAATGTACAGAACACTTTCTGTGTGGCCCTTTCAAGCGGACAGAGCTAGGACAAGTCGGGGTGGGACTGCCAGCACCTCAGTTTCACCATCTGTGAAGTGCCTCCCCTGCAGGGAACTGCCTCTTTGGAGGTCATGCCCTCCCAGAGACAGCCTCTGGCCCAGGACTGGATGACCCCTTGGCCTCAATCTGGGACATTAATGCTGAGGAGCCGTCCCAGCTCACAGCACACCCGATACCCATGCAGGAATCCAGCCCCTTTAACCACACCACCTGCCGGCCCTATTTATTATAAATTTTAAAAATTTGCTACAGGGCACTTGTGCTTACCAGAGAGAGAAAGAAAGACCAGGTCCAGGACTCGAACCACAGTTGGCAATATGGAAGTCCAGTGCCTTAACCTCCACCCCACCTGCTGGCCCCACTTGCTCACGCCACCTGCTCACCCCGTATGCTCACCTCTTGATTCAAACTGATTTGGGCCAATGTAGTCATCAGGCATCAGTTCTGTTCAGCGGATATTAGTAGCTGCTAAGAATTCGAGGTAGGGGTCAGCAGATGGTGTGTTGGGTAAGGTGCTGGGCCTCCACATGGCCGACCGCGGTTTGAATCTCAGACCTTGGGGCTTGAAAATCACACCAGGCATGTATGTGTGCATGCCCCAAATCCCAAGAGGAG